TTTAGCAAATGTAGGCACTTTGAATTTAGGGGGAATGACGATCCCAACAACCAACCCTAGTTCTTCGAAATCCAGCCCAGGCACTCTTTGTACCTCCATGGCCGCCAGCCAATCTTCCAGATTCTTATACTTATCATCCGCAAGAGGGTACTGCTGCTCAGAGTAATCTTCGTCTTCTTCCTCTTCTTCTTCTTCAGCCTCAGATTCAGAAGGTACTGCAGCTCCTTTTCCTTTGCCAACCCCTTCATCAGACGTCGAGGCGAAATCCAGGACTCTCCTGGCTTGGTTCTCAAATATTCTACCCAGAGTGGCCACACCAGCCCTTTTCTTTTTCTTCTTTTATTTTTCCTTTTCCTTCTCTAACAGTGCTTTAAGGTCCTCTTGACCCTTTGCCAAGGTCATGAGGAGTTGTTGGAACTGCGAATTTTGTGCTTGCAGATCTTTGACCGTTTGCTCTATATCCATCTTGCTGAAATAAACAGCAGAAAGATAAGGAAACCTGGTGTGAAGACCTGTTTATGCATATGATGAATGATATGTATTCATGTAATGCATTCAAGGATTCAGAAATTCAAAGTTGTTGCAAATAAAAAGGACACACGTCATATTAATAAGAAGAAATCTGTTAGTACATAAATGCCCCATGGGCAAAATATTACAAAATTCTTAATGTAAAAAGACATTGCGCATCCTCTTTGGTGCGATGTAAGTGTTAAGAGTCTGCTCTTCGTGGAGTCGACGGGTAAGTTCCAGAACCTTCTTCTCACTGGCATAGAAGTTGGCTTTAAAAGTATTATGTTCTTCCTTGAGTTGTATCCAACTCTTTTGCAAATCTTCCAATGATGTTGGCATGTCAGGATGCAGGAGGGTGTATGGAACCTCTCCTTCCATAATAGGCTCTTTGATCACAGGGAGAATGTAGGGGTAGGGCATCATAAGACTCTAGGCATGGGTTCGTACCCACCTGAGGTAAGGCTCAAGGGGGATGGAATTCTTGTGTCCCAGTGTCTTACTGTCCACTTTGTTGGGCATCCTCCAACCTCGGATTAACCTTTGTCGAATTCCTTGAGCATCGTTGTCGAAGTCAAAAACCAAGTCCAGAATCAGCATGTCATGAGGGTCATCCCTTCGGGCATACCCAAATTGTCTCAGAGCTAAACAGGGGTTGTAGGTAATGCCTCCCCTAATGCCAAGTAGTGGGACATTAGGGAATTCCCCATAACAATCAATGATGATGACATTTTCTCTGGACCAAGAACACCAATGAACATCAGAATGTGTAAGAGTCATCAATCGCTGTGACCACCTCAAGCCTTGTTCATTCTTCAAGACTGACTGGGGAAGGTGAGAAATAAACCACCTTGCTAGAAGGTGAGTACAGCACATGAGAACACCTCTTTTCCTCATTGTTCGTGTGTGAAATGAGTGGAGGATATATCCAAGTAATGTAGGCACAAGATTCAGAGATATGAAAATCTTGACAGCATTCACATCTATAAGTTGGTCAGGGTTTGGGAACAAGACCAACCCATAGATGAGAAGTGCTACAATTTCTTCAAAAGCTTGCATATGTAGTGAATTCCAGCAGTCTTGTGCCTTCTCAAACAGAAACTTTGCCAAGAAACCCTTGACACCACTTCTGGTTTCCCAATGACCTTTGATATCAGATGGTTGCAAGTGTAGGGCTTGAGCAACATCTTCAGGCTTTGGCTCTCTTTCCGTACCGTTGTAGGGTAGTTGATGGAGAATAGGAATCCTCAGGAGTTGAGAAAATTCCTCCAAAGTAGGCACTAGTTGGTAATCAGGAAAGGTAAAGCAATGGTGTAGGGGGTCAAAGAACTGGAAGAGAACTTTCACCATGTCTTCTTCAATGTTGGAGTTGACCAAGGTGAGAAGTCTACCATGTCTTTCACTGGAGGGAGAATTCTCTGGAATCTTGGAAGTAAGCTCCTTGAGTTGAGAAGGGATTCTCACAAGGTTGACTTGAATAGTTTTTCTGCGGAGTGATTCCATAACCTACAAAACAAGAACAAAGATGAAGATCCAAACCCTTGAAATGGTTAGTGGATGCATATGATGCTTCATGATGTTCATGATGTATGCACAAGTATATGTACAAACAAATCACACAAGATCCTAGTTTCAGGCTTGCAAGGGGTTTCATAGGTAAGTACCCTCTTGAAGTTAGTTGGCTCAATCTGTCCTATAAATAGTAACCGGGTTCTAAGGAGCTCAATATCACTGGATTATTTTGTGTTCATTGTTTCAGTTTAGCCACTTTACTGGCGACCGAAATATTCCAAGAAAACAACCCTCAATGAGTGTAGTATCGAGTATCTACCAACTTCGGACTGCACCAAAGCTGGTCATCTCACTACCCCTAAAAAGGCCAAGATGGTCAAGTAAAGGTTCTAAAAGTCCATTAGTGCTTCATGACATCACTCAGCGTCCCCGTATTCTCTTTGATTGACTCAAAGGCTACCGGTACCCACAAATATGTCGCACTAATATAACTATTGTTTCGACCATGTCGGTATACCCTGCACAGTTTCCACAAACATATTGCTATTTACCTATGAATGTTTCCCAAATCCGGGTAAAGGATTCAAACCCAAACAATAGAACCAAATGTAAAGCAATCAAAGCAAACAAAGCAAGCATGTAAAGGTGATATAAAACCCTAAGGTAACCCCACTTTTAGATATTTCCCCAGCAGAGTCGCCAGTTCTATGATACGGTGGGAGAACTGACTTGAGGTTTTGCGTTTATGTTCGCAAATGTTTCAGTTTAGCAAGAGTCGCCACCGACTTTTTATTTTATCCAAAGGAAAGATCAAATAGCACAGGAAAGACCTTTGAGATGTTTTCTTGGGTTCGGGGGGTAGATTATGAAAAGGGAAGGTGCAAGCACCCTTTTCATCCATGGTTATCCATGGGATCTTAGTTACTTGTTTAGATCACTTGCTTTTGCTTTTCAATTGTTTGAAATGGTGCTTTGTGTGTGGTTTTGAAAATGCTTTGAAAAGAGGCCATCATTGTGGAAACCTTTGTAATGATTCTTGTTTGAATATATACAAAGGTGTTTGTCTTTTGAAAAGATATTTCAATGTTTGAAAGTTTGATTTGGGAAATGTTTTGAAATTGTTTTGTGAGGTGTGTTTGAAAATAGAAAGGATGTTTTGCAAGTTTTTATCAAGTAACTAAGAGTTGTCTACCCTATTTTACTCAAAGATCTTTCCTATATGTTTTTAACCCTTTTGACAGTGTTGTTTTACCATTGCATTTGGTAAACAACCTTGTATTTGGATGTTAAATGGGACAGGCGCGGGTCATCGTATTGACCATGATAGCAACATTGCCAAGTATCTTTAGCAATTTTTTGAGGGACTAGATCATTTTGTATAGGCAACCAAGATAGCGTCATTGAGGGACTATGATCTTTTGTTTTGTTTTTGTTTTGCCAAAGTACTCAACATGCATAACATGGCCAATTTAAAGGCAACAAGTGGATGAAACCCTAGGGGTGCAAGTGTGCATTGTGTTGTCAATTTACATGCTTTTTTTCTTTGTATTAGTCAAGCTATTTGTTTGGTTTTGGATTTTTGCATACAAACCCTAATCTCTAATCATGGCATAATTGAAAGCATAAATGCGTAAAAGAAATCTACATTATTACAACATTTGATATGGGAAGGGGGATACAATTTTTGAATGGGAGATATTTGCAAGAAAATAAAACCCTAATATTTACTATTACATCCAAATTGAATAATTGGTACAAATAATAAATGAACAATATTTAAATGAATAAATTAAACAAATATGCAAAATAATATGAATATGCAAAAATGTTTTGTTTATTTTTATGTATATAAAAATATAATAAAAAGATTATTATTTTTTTTATTAAGGGCAAAAACCCTAGTTTTCTTTTAAGAAAGTAAATATATATATATATATATATATATATATATATATATATATATATATATATATATATATATATATATATATATATATATATATATATATATATATATATATATATATATATATATATATATATATAATATATATATATATATATATATATATATATATATATATATATATATATATATATATATATATATATATATATATATATATATATATATATATATATATATATATATATATATATATATATATATATATATATATATATATATATATATATATATATATATATATATATATATATATATATATATATATATATATATATATATATTTTATGTACAATAAAATAAAATAATATATATACAAAAATAAAATATATTTAGAAAACATATTATTTAAGTATAAATAAAATAAAGAATAAAAATAAAGGTATAAAATTATTATATATTATTTTCAAGTTTTCATTAAATAAAAGT